TGTCCTGTTTTTCTTTTTTTTTTGGGTACCCTTTTGGGGCAAAAAACTTTTCGCCCCCCCCGAATTTGTTTGGGAAATTTTTTTTTTGGAGCAAACGGTTACTGGGTTTTTTTTTCCCCCCAATTTGGTTGTTTGGGTTTTTTTTGGGGGGGGTGGCCGGGTTTGTTTTCGGCCCAAGTTTTTGGGCAGGTAGCCCTACAATTGGTTTTCGGGGGAAGCCAAGGGTTTTTTGAAGAACGCCCCCAAAATTTCCCCCCATTCGGGGGGGAAATTGTCCGGGTAGGGGGCCCATTTTCCCCCCCCGGGGGTTTTTGGGACGGGGCCAAAGGGAGGCCCCCTTTCAACATCCCCAAGCCCCGGGGGTTTTTCTTTTTTTTTTCCCCCCCCCCCCCCTTTTGGAAAATTTCCCCCGGCCCGGGCCCCCCCCCCCCCCCGCCCCGTCGCCTACCGTGACAGGGGAAGCGCCAGGGGAAAGGGCTCCCGGAGCCCATCCTGCTGGACCCGGTGATCACTGTGCTCATCGGGGAGCTGGACGTGCTGGTGTCGTCCATCGTGAGGTACACCAGCGTCATCCAGAGGTACTACATCGAGTACCTTAAAGGGGCGCACCTCACTTCCCTCCGAAGGCTCGTCCAGGTGCGGTGCGGTGCGGTGCTACCGCCGATTGCTGTATGCATAACTGCTGCTGTAGCTGCTGCTGCTGCTGCTGCTGCTGCTGCTGCTGCTGTTTCTGTGAGACACAAAGGTTCTGGGAGACCAAACCAGCAGGAAATCATGAAGCACCGAAGTCTGCGGCGTTGTTTCCAGAGAGAGAAGAAACTGTCGCATTTAAAGAAAGTGCGCACTCAAGCCGAGACTGTTGTAGGGCATGGATGTTTGTCGTGCAGACGTGCAGTGGCCGTGCATTAGTGGGGCTTGGAACTGACGCCACCAAGAGCCGAAGGCAACTGGCATAGCTGTGGGGGTGTAACTAAGACGAGTGGTCTTCCTGTACACCTCCGCTCTTTTTTGTCAAGAGCAAGGCTCTGGGTTTTTGGTGCGGTGGCCGAATATATTTTGTAGTTCCGGCGCAATGTTAGCTGTGTTGCGGCCGGCCGGGTGCTTGTTAATTTGAGACAGTGAACGAACTCGACCGAAGATATCTGAATCCACCCCTTTATTTAGAAGTGTGTTTACCCTGTTCCGGGGTTATTTAGTTGGCGTGTGGCCACGGAAGGCTATCCGCGTCAGTTGGACCGGCGCAGAGGCACTGAACAGAGACCGGAACGGTTTTATTAAGCGTGAAGAAAGCATGCGTGCACGTGCATACAATATCACGTGCTACCATGTTTACCTCAAACAGCCGCTGGCTCTCTCTTGCGACGTGCTACGTTGTGCCGCAGGCCGCCATCGCGCACACCAACCTGCCGGACAAGGTGTCGAAGGAAGACCTGACCAGGCTCTCCGGCCTGGGGGGGCACTTGGAGCGGCTCAACCCGGATGCTACGGACGACGCCGACCTCAAGGTAGGTTAGGGCACAGTACGGTACGGTACGGTACGGTACGGTACGGTACGGTACAGTACGGGTAGGGTAGGGTAGGGTAGGGTAGGGTTACGTGATCAGGCGACGCTGCTTCGCCTGTGCCCCGCGCACGCACGTAGGTCAAGTCGTGAAACAGCAGTGGATGCGAACAACCGGAGAGCACGTATCTCATCCCTAACCGCATTGAACTTCGCAATGATCATGGAAAGAAAATGAAGACCACAAAGCACCGTAATTAAAGCTTTGGCAAAAGTGCTTTTGGGGGGCGTTCTGAAGGTGATGCACCACGGTCAAGTGGTGTCTTGTTTACTTTGACCGGTTCCGGCTGTTTCATTCTTCTTTTTAGCTGATGTCGCGCGCCCTTCTCAGGTACAAGCGTGTGTAGCGTGAATGCGCCGCATTTGTTTTTGTTCACCCCTTTTGGCAGGAGTTTCGGTGGGACTGCTACCGACTTTTGGGGGTCTTGAGCGAGCCGGGCGCCAATCTGATGCACGACATGCAGGTGCGTGACACGTGGGCACGTTTTCGCGGTTTGTTTCTTTGTGTCTTTTTTCAGATGCATCGCACTCCAGACTTGCGAGTTGCATCATCGGGCTTAGCTCTTGACAGACATGGTTGAGGGAGAGCCACCGTCGCGTAGTCTGTCTTGAGAGAGGGGGGTAGTTGGTGAAGAAGCACGAGGAATGTTTTGGGTGGAAAATTGCGTTCGATGCTGCTCTTACCCAACACGGCACACCACTTCGGCGCCGGCTGCGGTTGCTGTGTGTCTGGGCCCTCCTGTCTATTTTGTCCATCTTTCTGTCTATCTGTTGGTTGTCTGCCTACCATACTGTTTTAGCTTTTGTCTGTCTGTCTGTCGGTCTGAACGCACGGTGATGTTTCATTCCGAGGTTGTTGTCGCTGTGGTCCATCCAGGTTGGCACCGGCGCTAACCTACGCATGTACCGTTGCTGTTTTTTTCGGCTTGCTGCCTTTGGGATGGAGCCATAAAACCTTCCACGGACTCGACAGCAGTGACGTGGCCGTCGTTCTTTTGTTTGCTTCCGCTATGTACAACGCGATTAATTAAATCGACCCGACACGTGTTTTCTGGCTCTGTTGCGTCGCCGCCATCATCCGCACTGCTGCATGGTATTATAGTCATCGTTTCTCGTGTTGGCTGTCGCTGTTTACAAAGCGTTTTCTTCCTCTGCTGTGCCACCGCCCTCCCGCCGCCCGCGGCCGTCGTAGATCTCGGAGATGATGCGGCGGATGACCCGCACGATGGAGCACAGCGAGTTCGTGGACGGGCTGGAGTCGGTCCTGAGACATCAGTGCGACGTGAGCGAAAGCCAGCCCTCTGGTCTGGGCGGTGGGAGATGTGTTTCGTCGCGAGCAGTCAGCAGTTCTGATGCTGTCTACCTTGTCTGGTGGAATCGATAGCGGTTGCGAGGCTTAGGGTGTTGTTGCAGGTGGGCCGTTGCGATGTCATCGCTGGGCGTTGCTGGTGCTGGTGCTGGTGCTGGTGCTGGTGCTGGTATCTGTGATGCTGCCTAGTCTGGTGGTCGTGTTCACGGGAAGCTTGGGGCGTCGTTGCGGGCGGGCTGTTTCGATGTTGCTGCTGTTGCTGCTGCTGCTGCTGATGCTGATGCTAATGATGCTAATGATGATGGTGACGATGCTGGTATCTTTTGATCTCATGTCGTGGTGTTTTCATCGAGGTCGGTGGTGTTTTTGACGTCGGCATGGGAGGAAACGTTGCATTGCATTAGCGCTGGGCTTTTTGACACTGGTGGTGCTGGTGGTGCTGCTGTTTAGTATGTTTTGGTCTCATGCCGTGGTGATGCATCCAGGTCGGAGGTGTTTGTGACGTAGGTATCGGAGGAAGTGTGTACTACGTACAGCGCCGGAGCTTTGGCACCGAAAGCATGCATCTCATTGTGCTGCATCCTACCCTTGTTTTTTATGGTGTTGTCTCGCAGGTGGCGGAATCTTGGTGGTACTTCGAGAACGTCCTCAAAGAGAACGCCAACCGGTGCTTGTACGCGGAGGACTCTTCGTCCAAGTTTGCGGCGTCCTATATCAAGGTCCGGCACTGCGGTTTTGCGTGCACACTGCCCACTTTATTTTTCGCGATTTTTTTGCGATTGTTTCGTTTCACTTTACCTTAGTTCGGTTTAATTTAGCGCGTGACCCCACGGAAGTTCATGACGCTCCCTTGGCGAGTAGCGAGTGAGAAGGTATTAGACTCAGGTCCAATACATGTACATGTTACCGGTTGTCAAGGCTACAGCAACAACACCTAGAAGAAGCAGATATATTGTGTTACGGTAGGTTTATTCGACCAGCCCGTGTGTACAACTTCGTCTTCAGAGCAGAAAGTGCCGACGCTCCCAACGTGTGTTCATATCTCACGGGCAGAAGTAGTGCACGGCAGTCTCGCCTGCGCTGGCATGAAGGTGTCACCGGCTGCTCGGATGTGCACATGTGTCGGTTGCTCCGTTGCTGACGCGCCTCGCTCCCCACGCGCTATTTTCACCAGATTTCTGCATTTTTGGACAATACACATACATGTCAACCACAGAAAAAGAAGTGCCCGTTCGAGATGATACCCCGATCGAAGGGATGTATGTGTTCAATCATCTTTGTACGGTGAGTGGGTAGAAAAACCCTGATGGATAATAGTGGACCTTTTCTTTTTTCCTTGCGGTGAGTGGGGATACAAAACCTGCAATCGCGGTGCATTTCTCTACTGCTACCACCCTCTCGCCGGCGTTCGTGATGACGGGAACGATTGAAGGCCCTGGCCCAGCGATAGTAGACTTATTTTATACCATTTTTTTTTTTTTTTTCCTTCCATTCAGGTGCTGGGCAGCGCCATCAACAACGTGCACGAGGACTGTCCGGACGAGCAGCTGATGATCGGCACCAAGTGCGCCGACCTCGCGGAGAAGATGGCGGAGGCGATCGCGGCCAGGGTGGAACACCTCGTGCGCATGCTCTGCAACAAGGCACGGCGGTGTGACTCTGTTTTGTCGCGTTGTTGTTGTTGCCGATACTACGGCTGCTGCCGCTACATCTGCTACCGCTAATACCGCTGCTTCTGCTACTGCCGCCGCCGCCGCCGCCGCCGCCTGGAAACGTTTGGTCGAAAGGCGTTACAGGATCCTCTTTTGCTTGATTGTGTGCTAATGTGTTCATGTATTCCGTCCTGTCCCTTGGGTTTGCTAACCTTGGCAGGCGGAGAGCCTGGAGGTGGCCACTCTTCCGCACGAGGCCGCGAACAGGGCTTACCGACAGCATGCGGCAACCATGCAGGTACTGCACGCTTCAGCAGCATACATACGAAACGGCAAAACCTCGCGCCTGTTGTTGCTACCGCTGTTGGCGCCCTTTGTGGGTGTCGTTATTATATGTGTAGCGCGGCAGCCTTGGCGTGTGGAGGGCGACAAGTAGCTTTGTTCTTAGGACGGGTGGCATGAGCTGGGAACGAGCCCCTTTTTCTTCATGACCCGCGCTCCTGTCGTTTCGATATCGCGCCGTCGCGCCTGGTGGCTTGCGGTGAAACAACCGAACCGCTTTTTGGTCGCGGATTGTTGCAAGTTGCCGCCGCCATCCACTCTGTACTCTGAGGGGTCGGTTGGAATCGAAGTGCCACGCAGCCTCTTCGTTCTGCCCCCCCCCCCCCCCCCTTCCAGCAATCATGCTGAGGAAAGTGGAAACCCTGTTGTTGAGAAGGTGCTCCCGTCCCACCCCCCCGATGCTACTGCAACAGTACTGTAGCAGTAGGGATGCGGCTCATGAAGTGATGCTCCGTCCTCTCGAGCACACGTGGTCAACGGTGTAACCGCTAAGACATGCAAAATATGGGTACCCAACCACCCCCCCCTCCCCCCCCCGCCTCAGGCCAAAAAATCTGGTGCGGTTGCGCTCGCGGAGCCCCTGCCCGGCAGGGAGTCCGAAGGCTGGAACAACACCACCGTTCCACAGGTGATGACTGATGACGACAACGACACACAACTAGGGATGATGTGGTGCTTGTTGAAGGGTGTCTTTAGTTTGAAGGTATTGCTACAACGTGTGCCACTCAGGTACTTCGAGGACGTACACTTGCAACCCCCGACCGTAAGTGCGGTTGGGATTTTTGTCTGTCTGCTCTTCTCAAATTCCTTAGTGGGGCTTAGCATTCGTGCGGTTGGGATATTTATCTGTCTGCCCTTCTCAAATTCCCTAGTGGGGCTTAGCATTGGTACGGTTGGGATATTTATTTGCCTGCCCTTCTCAAATTCCTTAGTGGGGCTTAGCATTGATACGGTTGGGATATTTATTTGTCTGCCTTCTCAAATTCCTTAGTGGGGCTTAGCATTGGTACGGTTGGGATATCTATATGTCTGCCCTTCTCAAATTCCTCAGTGGGGCTTAGCGTTCGTACGGTTGGGATATCTGTTTGTCTGCCTTCTCAAATTCCTTAGTGGGGCTTAGCTTTCGTAACTTTGCAAGAATCTTGGTCGGAGCTCGTGAGCCAGGTATGTGGCAGACGTTCTGCACTCCATCTCCCAGGCTTCCCGACAGCAATTGCAGTTTGCGAGGCATACGTTTGCAAGAAGCATCATTTGGATTTTGTCGGTTGGGATTTTTATTTGTCTGCCTTCTCAAGTTCCTTAGTGGGGCTTAGCATTGAGTTTGAAGTTACTGAGCACTAGTATTGAGTATGGTTGAGTAAAATACTCGGGTGGGCTTTCAGCTCTTGAGGACGGATGAGTACAAGTTATTACGGCCGAATACACGCGCTACTATCGTATACGACACAAGATAACACACATCCTGGACCGATTTTCAAAGCTCGATTATCAACAGCGGAGGTAAGTCACAGCGCCGAAAATGGCGGCGTTAAAGCTGTCTGTCTCGTCGAGAGCTTTCCGAAAATGTATCGTTTCGTTTATGCATGTCCTCCGTCTTGATGATGTAATCGAGAAAGTCGGTCCAGGGGGTGTGTTATCTTGTGTCGTATACGGTACGTCAGTCGTGCGGAGCGTTATATTGCGTCGTATACGGCACGTCACGTGCGGAGCGTTATACTGTGTCCGTATACGGTACGCCAGTCGTGCGGAGCGTTATATTGTGTCGTATACGGCACGTCAGTCGTGCGGAGCGTTATGCTGCTGTGTCGTATACGGTACGGCAGTCGTGCGGAGCGTTATACGTGCCTCGTTGTTTGTTTATTCGATCTGTGCCAGCCAATTTCACCCGCACTGCTGCGCCGGACCCCTCTCGCCTTGTTTGGCCATCCCGCGAGCATTCCGAGCGTGTTTTTTCCCGCTTACATCAAAAACCATATTTCTGCCCAAAGTTATTTACAACAGCAGTAGCACGCACCACCTAAACGATAGGGAGATGAGCGCTTTAAAGATCGCGTTGCTGCCACGGTTGATTGACTGCTGTCGTTTTTTTTTTTTTTCTCGGCAGCCTTACCTCGGTAGAGCGCATCCTGACCAACCTTCTGACGGCGCTCAATATCCACCCCCAGGGGATTGTCGTTTTCGATCGCCTCATCGTGCCCAAGGAGGTAAGCTCATACGACTAGCCTTCGGAGGGTTTTTCGGTTCAAGTAAACATGTTGGATGAAGTACAGCAGTCGTCCCTCGGGTAAGGACACACATGATTTTTCGTTTAAACGGGTGTCCTTAAGCCGGGGAAGTGTGCTCAAGGTTGACATGATACCCCTCCTTATGTTGTGCATTCTGCGGGCCGCCACGCCTGTGAAGAAACGAAAGTTGTCCTTATTCGGGGGAGAGAGTCCTTGAAAAAGTGGTGTCCTTAACCGAGGGATGACGGTATGTAGTTGGGGGGGGGGTTGGATTAGGGTTAGGGTCTGCGTACCCCCTCCCCGTTCTGTTTTTCTCACAAACTCAAGTGTTCTCGCCAAGGCGGCCCGCTCGTACACACATGCCTGCGGGCCACTGCTGAGAGTGGTGTGGGCGGGGATAAGGTCGTATGCGTAGTTGTTATATGTGCGGTGCGTTGGGAAGTTATGGCATGATGTACTGCCAAAAGAGTAATGTGGATGGAGACAAGGCCGTACAGCAGTCGCCCCGTATGTACATGCGGCGTTCAGCGTGATGCGTGTCAGCATTTTTTTTTTTGGCGGTGCGTGTGGCCTTGGTAGTGTTTCGATCGCCTCAACGTGGGGGTCGGCTACTACGCGAGGGATCAAAGGGCAAGCTTCCTCGTTTAGTGAGTGCCATAGCAGCAGCGGCGGCGACGGGGAATGTTGTATTCGCGGCAATTCTTGCGACCATGATAATGATGATGGCGGTGATGGTGGAAACGTTCTTCGAAACGTTGCGGGCGTGCCGGCGCCGGCATAGTGGTAAAAATGGAGGGGGGCTCCGCGAAATCCTGCTGAAGCTGCCGATCCCTCGTCCCTCCCGCGCCCTTCCTACTGGCCGTTGCTCTCGTGCAACCAATGACAACAAACAGTACGTGCGCGAGAGGCTGCACACTTTCTTCCGGAAGCACCTGTACTCCATCACGGTGTTCGACGGAGGTGTCGTCGAGCGGCCGACGGTTACGCTGAGGAAGCTCATGACCTGCTCGGCGGTCCTGCAGTCGGCGCTGGCCCGAACCGACATCGATTCCGCAGCAATCATCCGACAGGTGGAGGAGATCCTGAGCCTTTCGTTCTTTATGGTCCAACGATGTAGTAGCAAAGGGGTCTGTTGCGGTCACATTGCGCTACAACATCCTGTGTGGCCTTCCTCTTGTGTCTGTGTGACCCCCGCTCGTGCGTTCAGAGTGTGTGCAAGTACGTCGGGTGTACTGCTGGGCGAGTGCACGGGCTGATCCCGCACGAATGGGGTTTCCGCGCCGATGGCGGTTTTGCGGGCTCTCTCTGAAAGCCAGCCCGACCTCAACGCGCTGCGCTGCCCCGTGACTCATTCCCCGCTCACTGTTTTTTGTCATTTATTGCACGGTACGCGGACCGCTTCTCCTGTAGGAAACAGGCAGGTAGTTTTTTTTTTAAGGCCGTTCGGTTACACCAGCTGTTTGGTGAGTTTGGGTTCAACTCTTTCCTGACGAGACACCTCTCTCAGCGCCCCCCCTCCCCCCCTCCCCCCCTCCCCCCCCCCCCCCCCNNCCCCCCCCCCCCCCCCCCCGGCCCTTGAATGTTGCCTGCCTTTTCACGCCTCACGAAGGGTCCCTAACTTTCCTACACAATTGACGCCCGTTGCCATTTGCCGTTCCTTTGTTGACGGTTTTCCCTCAGGTGCTGCTGGACGAGTGCACCGACTGGTCCCGCATCCACGGACACTCCCGCAAGGGTTCCCACACGAAGGAGGGGCTCGGGAAGAGCGGGGGCGCCGCGGGGGGGCCGAAGAACGTTCTCGACAACATCTCGGGATGGTGAGAGAGAAGAGAGAGAGAGAGAGAGAGAGAGAGAGAGCGAGGCGGCAAGAAAAGAGCCTCGAAGATGTTGTCTGCAGTTTCACCTCGTCAGGTTCACCCTCTTTTTCCTATTTTCGCACAGTAAGGGCGGCCTTTGAATGGTGTAAGCGAGAGAGACAGCGCCTGGGGAGAGGCGACAAGAAAAGAGTGTACACGTCGTTACTTTCACCCTGTTTTTTTTTTTCTTTCGTACACCGCGGACAACAGTCTTTGAATGCCCCTCTCCATAGGAACGCCTCATCTATGGGAACCCATTTGGTGTTGTAGTACATGCGTTGTGTTGCCCCCACCACAACGACAGTCGGTGTCATCATCCCCCCGGCCGTCCGATTTAGTTCGTACCCCGCTCGCACACGCTAAGAAACTACGCATCGCATCCGATACATGCATATAAAACAGGTACTTGAACTTGCTGAAGACGATATCCCCCGGGGGAAGGAGCAGCGGGATCGTGTACGTGCCGGCGAGACAGGGGTTCGTGTCGTCCTCGAGCGCGGCGGCTACGGCGGCGAGCGGCGGGCCGCCGGTGGACCTGTTCTTCGACCTGCAGGAGCTCAGGGTGCGCGGAATGCGTGGATGTTTTTATTGTTTGCATCGACCGCGTGTAACCGGCTGACCAACAAAAAAGGCCGTGATTCTGGGGGCCCGTGAGTGGGCGTCATGGGGGAGGCTAAGCTACCTATTCCGATTCAAGGCAGAAACGTGCGTGCGTGCGTGCGTGCGTGCGTGTGCTTTGGTTCATCTCTCCGTCCGCAGGCTGACCCCTCCCTCCCCCTGCAAGTTGCCCCCTGGTGTCTCAATCGTTTCCAGTGACAATTGCTCGTGGTAATTTTTTGTTGGCTAAGTGGTGCATGCAAGCGCCCGGGGGGGGGGGGCAACCCCTATTTGCACGACGCGAGTGCAAATAAGGACCGTGCACGACTCGACTTGTGATTGGTCAAAAACAGCGCGCGCAGCGTGCGGACCACGTTCTGACGTGCGGACCACGTTTCTGACGTGCGGACCACGAACGTGGCGCAGCCGCGTTCGTGGCCAGTCTCGCCACCACGGCCCCGGTTGGAACGTCCGTGAGGGTTAGGGTTAGGGTTAGGGTTAGGGTTAGGGTTGGGGGGGTTGGGTCGGGTCGGTCCACGTGTGTGTATAACCCAGCCTCAACCCATCCACGGAGGCGTTTTGGAAGCCCCGCGCGTGGTGCAAATAGGGGTAGCCCGGGGGGGGGGGGGGGGCATGTCAAGAACGAGGGCTGCGTCGCCTTTTCTGCTGGTGTGTTGGTTGTGTGTTTGTTCATTATTTCGTGTTTGTTTTGCATGAAGATTACGCCACTCGTTCAGCTGGATGGATGGGTTACTTCGTGCTTGCCTTGGTTCATGCTGATCTCTCTCTCTCTCTCTCTCTCTCTCGGTCGTCGTTTTTCCGACGTGCTCCTTTGCGGGATCTACGTCGAATTCGCGCAGGCTCTGTGCACGCTGCTGGGAAGCGGGGGTGCCCGTTCCGTGGAGAAGGCTGTCCTGGACTTCGTCGCCACAAGGGTCCGAGAAATGCAGGTACGCGCGGTTTGGTGCGGTTTGGTGCGGTACAGTTCGGTACGGTACGATACGGTGTGGCAAAAACGGCGGGATGATAAAGGACGGTTCGCTACAGTTCTGTACGGTATGGTGGTGATGGGAACGTACCGAGAGCGTACATGGGTGTGCAGTCGGCGGAGCGCCTGTCGCGCACGGGAGCTAAGACTGACGAAATTTCGTTTTTAGTCAGCTGGTTCGGGCGGTCGATGGCATTTATACTTCAATGCGCACACACCACAATCACCGATTTACGGATTTCACCATGTGCTCAATCACACGCTTAAGGTTATTTGACGGTGTTTTGCTTGCTATCCATCTTGCATCCTTACCTTGCATGGGAGACCACGGACGGTGATTGGTTGTCTGACTGAACGGTGTACGACTGGTGTGGTCGGAGGCATGCCGTGCTTTTCGCCAACGTGGTACTGATCTACCACAAAAAAACGCCTTTGTCCGATGGATGATGGAAGCAGAGGGTTTTTGCTTGGTTTTCTAGGGGGGGGCTGGGCCCCGCTTCCATTTGTGACTACCCGCGTCATTGAAATGGTGGTACGGGTGTCCCGAAACCTGGTAATATAGCGTGGCGTGCACGGCACATGTGATTCGCGGATCATTGAGTGCGGAGTTGGGGGGGGTAGGGGGTACGCAAGGTATTCTCGCACACACACGTTCTGTGGTACACGGGTGTGCGTGCTCCACCAGTCAGTATGATAAGCCAGAAGTGCTTACGCATGATCCTTACAGAAGTGCTCACGCCATGATTGTTGCAGAAGTGCTTACGCATGCTTCTTACAAGGGCCGTTTCGTTTCTCCCACTCTTCGTTTGTTTGTTTTTTCGTGTGCAGCTGACTATGACGGCGAAGCAGACAGTCCTGGAAGAGTTCCGAGCGGCGTACTCGACGAGCCATTGGGAAGACGCCCTGAAAGCCGTCGGAAGTGAGTACAGCTACAGCAGCGTCTGGATAAACCGTAGGTGTCGTATCGTATCGTGTTAGTCGGCGGCGTTGTCGTTGTTCGTTTTGTGTGTTGACAACGCACTCTTTGTTTCATGCATTTGTTTGGGGGGGCGGCGGCGGCATCGAGCACACTCGCTGGTCTAACGCCGTGTTCTTCTTCACGGACCACTTTTTTTCGCGGTCTGTGTCAATTAATTCTTCCCAACATGTCTCCTCTGTGCGGCTCAATGGCTCTTTACTGAAAATGATGCCATGCGCCGGTCTGGCGGTGCGTCCCTCGTCCTGAGAACGATCCTGGCGATGTATGCACCCTCGAACCCCGCCCCAACACCCTCGCGTTTCTCGGCTCCTTGTGCCTGTTCGTGCACAATGTACCCTCTCACGGCCGCAATGGCTACAAATGGTTGGTTTGTCTAGAGGTCCTCCCCAAAACACAATAGTTAAAGCAAGGAGTCGTTTCCACTGCAGCAAGTATTTAGAACAAAAGTAGGCACGCTCAATGTTCGTGCCTTCCGCGTTGTAGCCAAAACCAAAACTTGCACACCTCAATAAAATCCACGTCAGTACCTATTGAATGACATATTTTTTCCTTTTTTGCCGATGTCTTACGCGCGTGTCGCTTCTTTCTCTGTCTTTATATCAAGACATGGATTCTTTCGTTGAAGATTCCATCGCCATCGGGAATGCGCTTACCCTCCGACGGCTGCTGAATGAGGTGAGAAGGCTAAGGCTGCCTTTCACGATGGGCTCGCAGTTAGAGCCCGCACTTGAGGACCTGGACCTGGGCGTTGAGAAATTCAGGCTACGACATGAATAAGTTTAAGAAGCCGGCCGTAAGAACAGGTGCTCAAATCAACAAGTCTACACTATTTACAACCTCTTATGGTCGCCCGATGGGGTAGTCTACCCCGCAGAGGAAATGAGAAACGAAACCAAGACAAGAGGTTCTTTGCTGTAGCGTTTTCTAGTTTTCACCCTCACCCTCCAAGCCTCGATTCAGCAACCGAATTCGTGAGCAATACTGTATGAATCAAATCAACACACCAGTCAGCGTTTACTAATGTAGCCTTCCCCCCAAAGCCTCGATTTAGCAACCGAATTCCTCGCCAATCGCAATCAAACCAATAGACGAGTCAGCGCTAGAGTTAAAGCGCTTAAAGCGCTGACTCGTCGTTTTTGTTTTCAATTGCTTACATGCACTCGACGTAGCGTACTAGACATGAGCAATGAGCGTAGCGCACAACGGCGTGAGACATACAGAAAAGAGATACATCAGCCATGTCTTGGTCGACACCAACGTGAAAAGCGTGAATCAATCGTCCTCGACAGACAGACAGTGGGGAGCTTGTATATTCACTCCATTTTTTTCTTTTATATTTTTTGTAGGGATCTCTCGACATCTGAATGGTACAATTGAAGCGGGGGCATTACAACACCACCCTGCCGCGAAAAATTTATCACCATCCCCCCTCCGACGGTCATCCGACTAAAAATACCGACAGCTACGGACAGGCCACAGCAGTAGTCAACACCTTAGAAAAAAGTCACGAGTACAACAGCAGTGTCTTGGAAGTAGAAGCGGTGGTTTCAGGAGGCGGGCGGCGTTTTTGGTTTTTATAACACTCGCTACCGCACGTTCCAAGCCGCATGACCCTCACCCGCACATCGAGAATACTAAATGAAGCGTTCTCAAGAGCGAAGGATGTGGTTTCTGCTGTGTTCGGAACAGCTTCAGCATGGCCGCGACATCAGTGCCTAGAAAAAAAGTCGAACCCACGATTCCGCACTACGCTTGATGATACTCAAGAGGAACCTAGAGGCGACTTTCCTTTTTTTTTTTTTTACCGGCGGTACAACGTACTCACCTAGGGGTATGTCGTCGTCGTCGCTGTTGCTGCTGATGTTTGTATTCCGCTGTTGTTATTTGCCCCCACGCGTGCTGTTGTCAGGCATTGGGCAGCGTGTACGAGGGGACGATGCCTTTCCTCAGGAAAACGGTGGACCTGGGGTGCAAGGCGATCGACGCCGGCGCGGGGGGGCGAGGCATGGACGCCTTCAAGAGACTCGCGGGAGACTTCGGTGAGAGATGTGATACCTGCGGTCGATAGGGAGAGGTTGAGAGAGGCAGAGATTGGCGGAGGAGACACAGAGGGACGGAGGAAGGGAAAGGGAGACAGAAAGAGACAGATGTATATATATACAAGTATAGGGATCGATGAGAGAGAGACGCACACAACAGACAGACAGACTGTGACAAACAGAGTGTAAAAAAGTGTAAAAAAAACTGTCTGCAAGTGTTGTGGTCAATCACGTTTTGAAATGTTTTGCGATGTTGGATGTCAGTTCTAAACAACGTTTGAGGCATCGGTGACACTTCGCTTTGCTATTTTGCTGGCCTTTTCTTTGTACCCTGAGCGCATTTTTGTGATAACTCCGTGGCACAGATGGTGGAGGCGCCAAACATCTGCATGTGTTGGTCGTCTCTCCCCAGCGAGCCCCCTCTGCTTCATTCTGGCACTGAACTGAACGTGGGCATGACGCAAGGGATCCTGCTAAACTTGCGGGTTGGTCTCTCGTAGTCGCCGCACCCCATACATGATGCTTCGCTTGATTGTGGTCAATCACGGTACCGAACGCCGCTTTTTTGGTACCATGGGAGTTGAAAGCTCCTGTCGTATTTTAGTATTCTCAAAGCGAGACAACGAATCAAGGCGATCGGGTATCCGAAGCGCCACACCTCGTCGATCGCTTTTGATTAACCACCCGCGCGCGCTTGTTTGTGTGTGTGTGTGTGTTGTTTTGTTTTGTTTTTGCACAGGACTGCCCTTCAAGTACGAGGACCACTCCCTCCTGCTTGCGCTCGATGGGTGCATCGACACACCCGTGTGGTCGTTGCTGCCGTACGCCTTCGCCGCTTCGTTTTCGTCGGAGTTGTGGCGAAAGTGAGTGGTGTGGTTACGTAGTGACGTTTCGTGTGGCGGCGCAATGTTGTATGCCTCGTTACTCCTCGATCTGTTGTTGGATGCCGTCGCGGTTGCGTTTCGCGGTGACGTTTCGTGTGGCGGCGCAATGTTGTATGTCTCGTTACTCCTCGATCTGTTGTTGGATGCCATCGCGGTTGGTTGCGTTTGGTGTTGACGTTTCGTGCGGCGTAATGTTGGGTACTTTGGTCAGTTTCGTTCTTTCCTGTTCTGTTGTTGGATGCCATCGCTGTTGCGAGTGGCGGGGTGTTGTTGTTGCAGCATATTTTGCTTCTCGCCATTTCGGCACGACCGGTGTAGGGTCTTGGAATTTTCGCTTTTTTTTTTTTGCACTGCTGTCCGTGGTCGGGATCGAAGCGCTCGGTCCACCATACGCCCCCACGTGATTCAATTCGATATTTACAAGTTGAGTCTTTTTCTGCTTGCGAATTTCCTCCATCTGAACAAAAAAAAGAACACTTGGGGGCCACCTACATGCACCGCCCCGCCCGCTCACCGTAGCTCCCAAAATTGTCGCACTCCCGGAGTATTAGTTGGGCACAGGGGGGTGGGTGTGCTTTGGCCGCGTGGTTTTGCGGGCACGCGCTCGCGCCACGGGCGACTATTACCACGAGAGTTGTATCGCGAAAGTCGTGCGGTACGGCGCACAGCAAACACTCCATGTATTTTCTTACTAGTATCCCTTCCCCCTGAGCCAAGCTATATCTATTGTTGCACACACGTCTGTCTAGGGCGTGCTGTCAACATGTGATCGAATTGTGGCATATATATTTTTTATTTTTTTAACCGTAAATTAAATGTTTGGTTCGTGCCACATGAGCGTCCTTCGAACCGGTGAGAGGTAATGTTGTTAGATCCGCCCCGTTCTGACGCCCCGCTCCGGCTTTTTCTTTCTTTTCTTTTTTGGCGGAAAGGTGCGAGTACGTGAGCCGCCTGGGAGTCTTCAAGAACAACGAGCACGTCATCGTGACCACGATCCTCGACTTGACGAAAGCCTTTTTCGGCGGAGGAGGCGTTGGCGACGCGGGCGGGGACCGGGGACCAACAGGAGGTGAGAGCGAAACACTGCATGACGGCCGGGTGAGCATCAGCGCAAAGGTTTCCACGAAACGGCATCAGCGCGGTGGACCGTGCCCTCGCCATTGTAACAGCAAGAAGCACGCGCAAGTTCAGTTATGTTTTAACATCGTGGTTGGGGGTCTTCTGCCTTGCTACTGAACGTTGTGGCTCATGATGCCTATGTCTTGCTCACTCGTTGGAACAGGTGCATATATGTAGCTTTGGTTCTGACGGTGGAAAGGAACGTCAAGAGACAGGAAATATGGGAATCCCGCCTACAGCATGCGCCACCCCGTCAGACCCTGGGAGGTTATGTAGCAAGTTCCGACTTGAAAACGGCCGAAACTTGAGGAATTGACCCCAAGAAGAGGCACCCAGTCGATTATTCTATTTACACCTGAAGATGACAGATGCTTTGCAATAGTTTCCTTGTACATTTCGAACACACATGCAAAGCCAGAGAAGCCGCACGGCGGCCTCGGCAGGACCCCCTTCATGTCCCCTGGTTGTCAACGAGGTGGGTTCCCAGCACTGTACGCAAAGGTTGATACATGCCGTCATTTTTTTTGTTTTTTCCCTCTGTCAACGCTGCTACAATGTATGTATCCTTCATTTTTTTTTTTTTTGTGGCAGGGGGAGAGGTGGCGGTGAAGCAAGCCCTGGAAGACTACGTGAAGACGGCATCTTTCGTGCTGCTGAGGCTCAAGATGAGGCATCACTACGGGGGGGACGGGTCTTCGGGCTTGACCCCGGGCGGGGGTTTCAAGTTTTTCTGCATGTACGCCTTCCTCGACAAGTTCGTCGAACAGTGTCCACAGGTGAGAGACAAGCCATATCCCCCCCCCGGCGCGGCCCCAACCAAACGAGTTCTACAATACTTGACGTGTGCGTTGCTTATGCCAACTGGGCGATTTGCCCCAGTTGC